AAAAAATCAGCTATTTTATAGTAAAATGCATTGCTAGACAGTTAAGAAAGGTCTGGTGACATTTTGCTGTCCAAGTAGTGAATACTGGTTGTCAAAAACAATGATGCTACTAATAAAAATCCTTGTGAAAAATAGAGAGACATTTAGACACATTTATACAACCGCTTTCATCCCATGGGTTCAGAGAATTTTACAGCAGTGGCAGGAAGACACTGCTTGATCAGGTGCCTGCTGCAGTAGAAGGAACCAAAATAAAATATTTGTAACATGATACTGCCCAGTTCTGTGAGAGAAATTATGTTTGGGGTCCTTTAAAAATGGCTGCCTCTGTTCAAATAGCTGGAAAAGTTTGCTGTCTTGCCTGTGATCAAGAGGCAAGCTTTCTGTCAGCCTACAGGAGATGTCTGCAAACACTTTTCTTGCACAGGCATGGGAGCAGACACATTTTAGTTGCAGAAAGAAAACCGTGTGGTCATATCCTACCATTTGAACTTCTTTTAACTTGTAAATAATGCCTCTCATTTGTATGAGCATCTCACTCGCTTAAATAGCAACATCGATATGAAATATAAATAAGTAAAATTCCACAGCTTTCCCATTTTCTCTAATGACCTGCCATGTTGCACAGCTTGAAAATACTGGGAATTTGCCTTACTTAAATTAACAGCAGTTTTGCTGATCTGCGTGACCTGGGCAGGCAGGGGCAGGGAAACATACAGGTACGCCGAATGATCAGGGGGAGGAAAATATTCCACAGCTGGAAGGAAGCAGCATGTGAACATGAATCTGAGACGCTCATCAGCGATACCCAAGCTGAGAAAGCTGCACAACTATGCCAATGCTTCCTTTGGCAGGTAGAGATGTGGCTGTGGCTGTTCAGAAATCTCCAGGGAAGAAGGCAGCAACCAGAAGCATATAAAGAAATTAGGCTATTGGGGTGGAAGAAGAGAAAAGAATCTCCCACTGAAGACATCATTTGATGACGGGCATCGGTGGTTTCATTTTTGCACATACTGCCAATTTGTTTCAATTAGAAAACCAGTCTTGAATGCTAAAGTTAATGGTGGTTTGGGGATAAGGTACTCCAACCAAGGAAGACATGGGCATGGGAACACGCTGCCAAGGAGCCAAAGGGAGCAGAATGGGGATGGAAGGAGGTGTAAGAAAAAAAGTTGAAGAACCGCTGGCCTGGAAAACTGCCTAGAGTGATTTCTCTCCTTATTATGGTAAATGGATCTTAAAATGTTTTGCCTCTGGAGTTCTGAAAGAACATTTCCAGACTACAGATGGATTTATGTAAATAAAGGTTTAGAAACCTACCACCTGCAAGAAAGCAGAAAGGTAACCTGGAAAACAACACACAGCAGAAAAAAACGTGTTCAGCCTAACACTGTCGCAGCCTTCCCTATAGCTTCACACCTATGCAAATTATCTGCCAAAATGCATAAAGCTCAAGATAAACAAATCTCTTCCACAACTTGGCATACAGAAAAAGGGTCTGAACTGAAATGATAATTGAGTTTTAGAGACCCATCCATTTGCTGTCATCGTGCCATCTGTCTCCCTGGCAGAGTCCTGATAGTTTGCATTGGCAGCTTTGATTGCCAAAGCTCATGTATTAAGTTAGAGTTACCTAGTCTTCCCACACACAGTTTCTTGTTATTTTTCTACAGGCCTGCTATTCGAGATGATTGACAGAACTGCAGGATACTGTGTACTCCCAGAAGCATAATATATTTTGATATTTTTAAACTTTTTTTTTTAAAATCAGAAATATGGATAATTTTCTATTGTGATTTGTCAGCAGCCTGCAGAGACCAAGTCCATCAGAGTCCAGAGAAAGGTTTACTTCTCAGGGACTGACCACAGGTAAAGAAGATCACAGGTGCTGGTGTATATATGCGTTAAGTATTTGCTATTATCGGAGTAATAAATGAAAACTGTGGCTGCCTTATGAGGGCAGTACCCCCTGAGGCAGGCTCCAAGTTATTGCACTACTGTCGTAACTACTCACTGCAAAGCACCTTTGACTAAAAGCCAATGTGACACCTAGCATAACTCTGCTGACTCCCTTGAAATTACACAGCTGATTAATGTTGTCCCTTAAGGTATGAAAGAAGTGATAAAATTATTTACATTTCATTTATTTACACAGAGTGTAACTTTAACTGCAGCAGTGAATGATGTGGGACTTTATGAAAGTTGCGTTCGATCTGGTCCTTTGATCACGAACGTGTTTTTTGCTATGCAAGAACAAAGGGTTTAATCCAGCAGGAGTTAATTCACGTTGGGCAGAAGACAGATAAACATTCCTGGCAGTCCATTTACTGAGCCATACACAGTAATGCAAGGTAGCGGAGCCCGTCCTCCCTTTAGGCTGGCTGTGTAATAGCTTGTGGCCAAATTCAAGAGACGCAAGGACTGAGACACTTACCGCGAAGTTTACATATAAGAAGACTATGCTGGGATACACAGAGGCTGCTCTGTTGAACAGCTTTTGTTCTTGTCCTGCTTTGTTCCTACTGCAGAATTAAACAATACTTTAGTTATGTCACTGAAGTTATACAGTTGGTGACTGTATAACTCTCATGTATTCACTAAGTATGCTCGGCAAAAACACTTCCTGAGCCATCTCCTCTCCCTTTTCTGCCAGTTATAAGTGCAGCGGTTCAAAAGATCTGCATACAGATTCACAATATAAGTCTATTCACCCCGTCCCCAAGAGCAGATACAGTTGGTGACAATTCCCAAAGGAAAGTTTGCACACCGTAAACCGAATGAGACCTGCCATTAGAGGCTAGATGAGGAATAGTTTTCCAGCCATACAAATAAAAAGACAACAGGATTTCAACTCGTTTTGAGTTCTGCCCCGGGACAGAGGGACTTTCCAAAGTTCCTCATAAGCATCTGGAGCAAGAGAACCCAGTTTGGCAAACAGGTCAGTCACTGGGGCACTCTGGGGGCGTGGGGCACTCAGGTCCTCCTTGTTCCTGCTCTGACGTACTCCCACAGTCCTGCTGAGTGTCCTGCTAACACACGGCAGGATTAATCTCTGCTTCTCAGTCAGTAGGAATTGCTCCCCTTTGCAGTAAGTAATTACATGTTACTGGGAGAGAAAGGCCGACTCCATCTTTCCGTTGCCGTGGCACTGGGCTGGGATGTTAGAAAACCTCAGGTCTAAGTCCATGCTCCAGTAAATACGTGATTATTAAACAGCTTCAACACAAGAAACCTGAGTGAGCTACCCAGAATAGCCAGCCACTTGGCAATTAAAATGCTTACATGGGATATGAGGCATCGTGATTCAAGCCTGTAGTCTGAGCTAGGATGCTTTGAACCTTGATTGCCTATGCCCCAAATACATGCTCTCACAGACCACTGGAGAGGAAGGGAATCACTCAGTCTTCCCCCCAACTAGAGCTACTACCCTGCACCTGAGACAGCTTTTATGGGGTGAATTAGTCAGAGAGATGAGTTTCATCATCATCAGATGAGCTGGTGCACGTCCATGAAGAGCTCTAGTTCAGCATTCCCCCTCTCCACTCCCAAAACTACAATCCTAACACCACAGGACACCTGAGCCAGAGGTGGGGCATCATGAGAGTCTGTCACAGTGCTGATATTGGCCATCTCTGAAGACCTTGGTTTTGGAAGACTAGAGTGAGACTCAGAAGTGTGGACGGGCTCTGAGGGTGTAAGAACAACCTCACAGTTTATGCATTTTAACTGTTTGTATTTGAACATTTTGTTGTTATAGGAAAGGAGCGGGTGGTGTGCAAGTGTCTTCCAAAAGCATGTCTGGATGTAAAAAGTGTGAGCTGGAGTTGATGAATGTTAAATGAAGTTTAAGTAACGATTACCTGAGTTTCAGAAATTGCCTTGACAGCATGCACACTTACTGAGCAGTCTGGCTGGCAACTGAGCAGAGCTTTCAGTGTTGGTGTATATATACAGTGAGTAAACGTGTTCCTTCAATCCTTGTTCAATGTAGCAGCTCCCACCTACCCTGTAGACTGACATTCTCATGTATTCAGTAAGTATGCTCAGCAAAAACACTTCCTGAGCCATCTCCTCTCCCTTTTCTGCCAGTTATAAGTGCAGGGGTTCAAAAGATCTGCATACAGATTCACAATATAAGTCCATTCACCCCGTCCCCAAAAGCAGATACTACTTGGACGTGCACGTAGGCAGTGGCACTGCAGTGACTGTGTTGGGAATTCCCTCCCAGCCTCCAACCACCAGCTACATATTTTGAATTGGAAGGTTACCTCCAGTAAATGGTATTTAGTAGCAAGCAGCATTTAATGTCTGTACTGAAGAGAACCCTGCTAAATCTAGGGAAGTCCTGTCACTTAATTCCTCTGGCTCCATCAATGAGGATGTGAGATAATCCTGACTTTGTTGTGTAGATCCTTTTCTCAGAGACTTTCATTGGTGTGATCATTCCACAAACATTATCCACTCGCGACAGATCCCAGCCTTCCACTCACTTTATAAATATCAACAGTTCTGAGGAAATCAATGGGCTTACTAATCTGCGTAAAGTAAACAGCATCTTGTCCTTAAAAATAACAACATTCAGTCACCTCCAGAATCTGGTGCATTCAGCCATCGTGCTTAAAGATTGCAGAATCAGAATCATGGAATGATCTAGGTTGGAAGGGACCTCTGGAGGTCACCTAGTCCAACTCCCGTTAAAGAAGGGCCAACTTCAAAGTTAGATCAGGTCACTCACAGTGCTGTCCAGCTGAATTTTGAACATCGCCAAGGATGGAGGTTTCACAGCCTCTCTGGACCCATTTCAGTGTTTGACCACTCTCCAGGTGAATATTTATTTCCTAATTTCTAATTGGAATATCTGATGTTGTGACTTGCATTCATTGTGTCTTGTCCTATCACTGTGCACTTCTAAGAGGAGTTTGCCTCCACCCTCTCTACACCCTCCCCTGAGGTAGCTGGAGACAGCAGTAAGATTTTCCCCTTAACCTTCTCTTTTTAAGATTGACAAACTCAGTTATCTCTCTCTTTATACATCATATACCAGTTCGCTCATCATCTTGATGACCTTCCACTGGACTTCCCCCAATATGTCAGTGTCTTGTACCGAGGAACCCCAAACTGGACGTAAAATTCCAAGGTTTGTTGGATAGAGGGAAATAGTTACAACCCTCAACCTGATGGCATGCTCATTAGGCCAGGATGCTCCAGGACATGCAATGGCACATTGCAGACTGCAACTTCTTGCCCGAAAGGCCACCCAGGTCCTCCTCTGCAGAATGCTGTCTACCCAGTCAGTCCCCAGCCTGTACTGTTGTATAGGGTTTTTCCATCCCAGGTGCAGATCTTTGCATTTCCATATATGCTATATATATTTTTTTATATACAAATATATGTATTTGTGTCCATCTTCTATTTCCAATTAGTACTCAACTGACCCATTCAACTCCAGAATCTGCTAATATATATTTTTAAAAGTCCAGTAAGATAATGAAAATATTCATAATTTTTCATTAGAACATAATCTAGTTTTACTTCTTCAGATTTAATACATTTTAGTTCCATTTCCCTTTAAATGTAATTTTTGTCTATTTGTTCCTGAAGCAAAAAATAATAATATCTTTTCAGGGGCATAATTTGCGGTTGATTCTGTTAATTCTGGGCTTCATAGGCTTCTCTGGGAAGGGCCCACGCAACAAAAACCTCTCAGTCCTAGCAGTTGCTAAGTGTTTTGATCAATTGAATGACAGTCAAGGATGTTTGGCACCTTGCAAACCAGGAATTTTAAATCAGGAGGCTTTATGAAAGTCTGCAAACCCCATTTGTCCTTTGAGTTTTAAGTAAAAAACCTACCCGTTCCAAAATTGTCAGTATTCACGTGTATGAAAGATAAAATAATCATCTCTCCCCCAAAAAGATGGCAGTGTATTTCCAAAATTATGTCATAGTCTCTAAGGCTACATCTGCTTTAGTAACTACAATAGGCCAGGTCCTGTTCTCTGGCTCTGAGGACGAATATCACAGCACAGCATGAGTCCATGTGGGGAAATTCACGTCCCACCAAAACAAGGTCCTGGACCTGTTTTGCATATGCTGCCTTGTGTTTCACTTGGTAGCACAAGGAGAAACAAGTAGCAGCACTAGAAAACATCTTATTTCTTTAGCCCTTGTTATTGTTACTTTGCTGTTTTTCATTAAAAAGTCCAGAGAGATTCAGAAGAGGCAGCAGAAAGCACCAGTTTGGTTTTATCCTCCGTATACCACGAGCACAGTATGCATCGGGTACTCCCCTGAGCACCTCTTTCGTTTGAGTTTTCTCCCCCAGCTCTCTGAAAGTGCAGTTCACCGGCAAGTGTCATTGTCACCGCTTCTTAACACTGACGCCCGCCCTTCCTTCTCCCTTCCCCCCCCGCCGAGACGCAGACTGTGAGCCCCATGTTAGTGCCTGCCGGCTTCTCACATCGTCCGTCAGCTCCGACCCAAAAGCTCTTTGGACCCGTTACCCCGGGACCGTCCGGAGAAGCAGGGTGCCAGCACTGGCACAGCCCTGCCTGAAAGCCGTCCAAGGCTTGCAGGCTGGAGCTGGCTGGCATCCCTGCATGGAGCTGGTGCACGGGGAAACCTGCTCGGTGGGTTTAAATTCTGCCTTCCGCTACGAGGCCCAGAATCCCACTTCTCATCACAAGCAGCATGAGAAAAAACAGGTGAAATGCTCAAACATTTCCTTAACGTTTAATGAAACGTTATTAATTTAACGACTAATAACCATAGCCAAGTGATTGATTATTTCTAATAGAAGGCCCGCCAATTGCTAACAAGTTAGGAAATGTCAGGGCAGAAGTTCCCAAAGAAATAACCCCTTGCCACATCCCCCCCCCCCCCCAGACAAAACCGGGGTACTACCAAGTTTTCTGGGCCACACCCCCCAC